ACTCAGAGGAGCTGTCTACTATTAATGTTTGGCACCTGCTAAACACAAACACTTTGGGAACGCAGACCCCTAAGCAAAGCAAATAGTTTGACTGTACAACAGAGTGAGCAGCGGGCAGATTTGAGGGAAAAGCACCAGTATTTACGTTCACTGTGCGCTCACTGGGTGCCTGGTCCTTGGAAGGCCTTCTTGAGAGTCAGATTGTCGCCGCGGCCCACAGCCTGTTGGGGCCATTGTCCCAGAAGGAGGGGTTCCCTTGGAGGCCCCGAAAGCTAGCTGCAGAGGCTGCAGGACAGGAGGGAAGGTGCAGGGTGAAACTGGGCGGAGCTCACACAGAGGGCTCCCCTGGGACAGAGACCGAAAAGACTGGGGAATGGGGCAGAACAGCCTCGGACATCAAACCCAGAGTGGGCCGGGGCTGGGGGAAACTGAGTTCAGAGAGAATGAGCTTGCAGGGAAGGGGGCTTTCACTTGTAGGATGGGGATGCGGGGCCGTGAGAACCTACCAGGCACCAAGTCCCAGGGCGCTACTATCATCTTCACCCCACCTCCTCAAAGCCCTGGATGTAGGACTTAGTTCACTCCAGTAAGGATTTGTTTGCTGCATTACTTTTTCCTTTTTTGAACAACGGATCCAAATTGTGGTCCTCTCATGGGCTTCTGGAGAGGCCTCTGTGCTCATCTCTGAGTCCCCAGTACCTAGACCTGGTAGACTCCTACCTAGGTGGTGGTTGCATATAGTAAATGGCTTTGCAGCTTTGCATTTGAACTACTTCTCCTTGGTTGGGGCCCAGGTTTTGCCCGTGGGGCTCTGGCTGCCGAGGGGAAGGCCCTTGCCCAGGAGTAATAACACATCAGCTACCCTAATCTCTTACAGGTGGAGATTAGTGAGCTGTGGAAGAGCTCACTCCTGCTCTTCTCTGGGCCTCGTGCTAACCTCTGGATGAAGATAATGATTAATGGTGGGATTCTCATTTTTACAAGCGAGGAAACAGGCTCAGAGGGGTAAGACGACATGTAGAGCCTCACCTTGCCTACTCTGGGGCAACATTTCCTGAGGCTTTTGCGCAGCATAAGCGTAGGGCTGGAATTTCCCCTATTTGTCCTCTTAGGCACTGTAGCAGTCAAAGCTGTGGGGAGCAAAAGGAGGGCTCTGGCCTAAGAACTGTGATCAATAAGTAGGGTAAGAGTTTGAAATGGGAAGAGGAATGTTGCCTTTTTTATTTTTATTTTTTGGGGGTACTGGGGATCAAAGCCAGGGCCACATGCATGTTAGGCAGGTTAGGCAGGCTGAGTTATACCCCCACCCAGCATTGCCATTTAATACCAGTCAACATTTGATTCAGTACAGATGTGTTTACTAAACTGTCACTGGATGCTACTGAGAGAATGCGCTGATAATAGGACACAGGCTTTGCATTTAGGGAGTCAGAACTGGGTAGGGCAATAGTTTTACATACATAAGCTTTCAGGAGCTCAAGAAGTTTATATAGCCAGGCATGGTGGTAGATGCCTGTAATCCCACTGGAAGGCGGAAGCAGGAGAATCCTTGCAAGTTTGAGGCCAGCCTGGGTTACATAGTGAACTCAAGACCAGCCTAAACCACACACATACACACACACACAAATTATCTAAAAAAGTGTTTCTCTCCCAGAGGTTCACAGAACATCTGTGGGACTTTTAAAGCATAGCATCTGGGCACTGTGGTACATGCCTATATTCTGGAGGCTGAGGCAGAAGGATCAGTTGAGCTAGGAATTCTAGGCTAGCTGGGCAGTATAGCTTGACCCTGACTCAACAAATAAACAATTTTTTAAAAAGCAAAGTATTTAATTGGCTAATTGGATGATTTCACTCTTGTTGCAGTATACGTAGAAGGTATGCAGACTTCTTTGACTGGATTAAATCCTTGAGTATGAGTGTGAACAAAGGAGATAAGGCCTAAAAGGCAGATAGTGAATGTTTTATCTTTTTTTTTGTATTGAGGATTGCACCCAAGACTTTCACATTGAGCTATATTTCCAGCTGTATCTCGCCCCCTCCCCCCCAGACAGGATCTGGCTAAATTGCTAAATAAGGTTGGCTCATGCCTATAATCCCAGCATTCAGGAGACTGAGGCAGGAGAATTTCTTTGAGTTCAAGGTCAGCCCTGAGTAGAAAGTGAGTTCAAGGACAGCATGAACTGCATAGTGAAACCCTGTTTCAAAAAGGACAATGAATAAAAATAAATAGCTAAATTTCCCAGACTGGGCTCAAATGGCAATCTTTCTGTCTTAGTATCTAGATTTTAGGCACTTGACACTTGTTACCTATTTTGTAGGGATCACAAACAATTTTCATTTTATATAAAAATTTTACATTTATTTATTTAGGTGTTTTTTTTTTGTTTGTTTAGTTTAGTTTTGTTTTGTTTTGTTTGAGACAGGGTCTCACTATGTAGTTCAGGATGGACTTGAACTCACAATGTATCCCAGGCTGGCCTCAAATGTGTAGTAATCCTCCTGCCTCAGCCTCTCACACCTGGCTGACCAGAGAGGTTATAAGGAATAATAATGCTAATATTAGAAGGTTACTAGGTACTAGACATTATTCTAAATGTTTTATATGAATTATCTAGTTTAGTTCTCACAACCCTATCAGATTCTCTTTTGCAGTATTGAGCAAAGTGAGACTTACAGAATTTAATTGTCCATAATCATACGGTTAGCAAGTGATGGAGTAAGATTAAACTCAAAATTCCCTGCCTACAGAAGTAGATGTCTCTGGTTTGAACTATAGGAGAGCTGGATTTCTTTTCTGAGCTAACAAAACTTACTAGCTTTTTTAAAATTTTGAGATAAAGTTTCACTAACTAAGTTGCCCAGGTTGGGCCAGAACTTGGAATCCTTCTGCTTCATAATTCCAGGGTTCTGGGATACCAACATCTTGAATGCAATTGATTTTAATATTACCAGTCATACTTCCAAGGTCGTTCATTCTCACCTTTTTCCAAAGCAAGTACAAAAATAGTGCAAAAATAACTTGGCGCTAGAGCTATAGCTCTGGGGTACAGTGGTTCCTTAGCATGTGTGAGGGTTCTATCTCCAACCACACACATACAAAATGAGAGAGGGGACTGCGAAAGTCACTACCAACTAAAACAGACTAAAATGCTCTGTGGTGTTATGTTACATCTGTGGCACAATGAAGTGGCTTTGAATAACTGGAGGGTATTTTGGCACTGTCCGTTCTCCTTGAATCCAGGTTGATCCTTTAATTTGCTTTAATCCATAGAATATGGTGAAAGTGTCAGTTCTGAACCCAAGTTTTAAAAAAGGTTAGCCTTTTCACCTTTTTTGGAAATGTTGAGCCAATGTGTAGGTTTGGGTATTCTCCTAGAGTGATTATGAAAAGAAGCCACATGCAGAGGGAGAACAGCTGAGACTACAGAAGAGAGCCAGCTCTTTCAGCTGAGCAAGCTGATGCTAGACCCACTGGCAAAGACAGCAGAACGACTGGTTTAATTACAGCCCAAACTGCAAACCTGTGCGTAAATAAAGTGGTTGTTGTTTTGACTCACATATTTTATTTTATTTATTTATTTATTTTGATACTGGGGATTGAACTCAGGAAATTGTGCTTGCCAGACAGGCACTGTATTGCTGAGCTAAATTCCTGGCCCTGACTCACATATTTTAGATTGTTTTGTTACTTGGAGTAGACAATGAAAATATCTCCTCAGCTTTTCATTGGTGTTGGGCATGGTGGTGCATCCTTGTAATCCCAGCATGCAGGAGACTGAGGCTGTGAGTTCAAGGCCAGCCTGAACTTCATAGTGAAACCCTGTCTAAAAAAAAAACAAAAAACCCCACAAAAACAGCTTTTCCATTGATGACTTCTGCATAAAGCTCAACTCTCCACTCCTTATGCCTTATCTCACACGGTTATGGTACTATTTGCCAAACGATTTCATGTTAATTGTTAGGTCCTGAGCAACCCCTTGCCCACCTTTTGAAATAGGATCTCCCTATGTAGTTCTGGCTGGCACTGAACTCACTATGTAGCCCAGGCTGGCCTTGAACTTGCAAGGATCCTCCTCCCTGAGCCTCTCAAGTGCTGGAATTATAAGCAATGTCTGGCTGCCATTTTTGTTCTGTTTTGTTTTTGTGGTGTAGGGAATGTAAGCCAAGAACTTGTGCATGCTAAAACACATGTTTATGTGTTTAAACCACTGAAATATACCTCCAACTCACTTTTAAAAAACAAAACATTAAGAGATCCTAGGTCCTAACTTGGGCTCTGTGTTACTAGCTGCATGCCTTTGGAAAGTCATTAACCTTTCTGTTTCAGTTATAAAATGGGGAGACTAAAGCTCTTTCTACTTAGCGGAGGGTAAAAATGAGTGAAACCGAGTTGAAACAAAAAGGAAATGTGTTAGGAGCTTTTAGCTCAAGAGGCAAGTGAGGAAAATCAAGAAACAAGGACTTTATAGCATCTGAATGTAAGATCTTTTTCTTTTTTCTTTTTTTAATACCGGGGATCGAACTCATAACCCTGTGTTTGCCAGACAGGCGCTTATGCCGCTGACGCTAAATCCCCGGACCCACAAAATGTAAGATATTTAACAAATGAGTTAACTTCTATAATCCTCAGTTCTTCTGTAAATGAGGCTACTTTTTCCTACTTCACAGATCTATCTGTGATGATTAAATACGGCCCTCCTTAAAGGGAGACCTGTTGCCACAAAAATCAACAATTGCCTGCATCAAACACAAACGTCTCCTTCCCTCATTCTCCTATTCTCTGCCCATCTCCAGAGAGTATGACTTGTCAAATCTAGAGCGGGATCCAGAAAGGTACTTAAACAAAAACAAAATTTCCTCAGAGGATTGCGGGGCAGGTCTGTCTTTCACCGCACCGCAAAGGACTCTCACTAGCTACCACGCCTCCTCCTTCGGTCAAATTCCAGGTATCGCGGCACTTGCTCTTTTCTTCAGGGTAGGTGTGAGTTTCGCGAGAACTACTTGTCCAATCACTAGGCCAGATGGCTTCACAAGATGGCGGCGCGCGGGGATCGTAGCATTTGCGTTTCTAGGAGCTTCGCGCTGCGAGTGACGTAAAAATTTGGGACTGTACAGGCCCACGCCAGACACATCATCGGGCAAAAGCATCCACCTTAGAGGTGGGTCACTTAACGTCTTTTTGTATGGGTTGAGGTCCTGGGTCAGTTAACCACTAATCATCCGGCTTCCTCCTCGAGTCAAAGGCTCCGGAGATGCTGGTTTCGGGGTCTAGGAGTGGGGACTGATGCTGTGTGTGCGCGCGTGCTGGGATATTAAGGGTGGGTGGGAGGAGCTGGCAAATAGAACGGAGCGTAGTATGGAAGTATGGAACCCCCGCCCCGGGGCGGGCGGGGGGGGTGATATTTAGAGAATGGTGGCAGACCAACGGAGTAAGATGGGGACATGGAGGACTGGAAGACTTGGGCAGGTGGCAGTGGCAGGGTAGGCGGAAAGAGCCGGGGTTTGTGAGGGAAGGCGAGGACAGAAAGCCAAGGTTGGGGTCGAGGTAGGAGGGGTCTGTGGAGAAGCAATTTGACATTCTATTCGTCATCAGCAACCTAATTTTGGAGACAGTCTTGCCATGTCGTTCAGGCTGGTCTTGAGTGCACTTTGTAGTCCAGGTTGGCCTTGATTTTCCTGCCTCAGTCTCGTAAGAGCTTTAATTACCAGTGTGTGCCACCAGGCCGGACCAGGAATTATGCATCCTGAAAGCAGAATTTAGACTTTTCTTTTTTTACAGGCTTACATATTAAAAGAACTGGTACTTTCGGGTTAAGGGTCAGGAAGTACGCAGGACACAAAAGCATGGAAATAAGATAGCTCAAAGAATGGAAGTGCCAACCTTAACAGTACTACTTTATATTATTTTATCTTATTTATTTTTTGGTACCAGGAATCAAGCTCAGGATTTTTTTTTTTTTTTTTTTGTATCAGGAATCGAACTCATGACCTGCTGCTTGGCAGGGCAGCACATAAGTTAGGCTGCTGAGCTAAATCCACGGCCCCAAATTCAGGATCTTGCACTTGCCAGGCATTCGCTGTGCTGCTGGGTATATTACCAGCCCAACAGTACTATTTTAGTTTTCTCGGCTGACTCAGGCAACCCTGAAGAAAAACTTTAGCCCTTAGGAAGAGCTTTTATGAGATGTGGACTGCTAACTCAGAAAGAGGATGGTGTATTTCACTGGCCTGGACATTGAGATAAGTTCTATTGCTCTTTCAGGCAACAAAAATGTGGATACCTCTTCTACTAGTCTGTTCGTTAAGCTTTGGGATTCTCAGTGAACAAAACAGACAAAATATTTTTCCTCATGAAACTTACTGGTAGGGAAATGTAAAAAAAATAATGTAATGCCAGATGGGTAAAGTCAATGTAGAATACTGTAGTAAAGGAGAAGTGTGTTCACTCAATGGATATTTAAATCAGGTACTCAAAAAAGATGTCAGTGAGGAGGTGGTATTTGACCAAAGATCTGACAAATGTGAAGGCACCTTGATTGAGTGTATTTCTAGAGGGAGAGCAACTCTTGCAAGTGCAAAAGGCATGTGTGTGTCAGACTTGAAAGAGAAATAGCAATAAGGCCAATGTAGTTAGAGCAAAATGAACCAAGAAAAGTCGATTTGTTTAGTGAAAAGTGGGACGTGACAATGCTGATGTGAGGAAAAGTTGACACCCAACCTGAGTTGAGGTGACACATGCCTGTAATTCTAGCACTAGGGAGGCTGAGGCAGGAGGATCTTCAGTTTGAGGCTGGCCTGGCTGGGCTACATAACAAGACCCTGTCTCAAAAGAAAAGAAAAAGAAAAAGGCTGATACTGGGCTAAACTTTGAGGAATAGAATATTGTCAGCTAATCATCCAGTGCCTGTATTAGAAGGTTATTTAGTAAAAACAAACAAGAAATGACATTAGTTATTTGGACACAGTGGCACATGCCTACAAGTCTCAGCACTTTGGGAAGCTGAAGCATGGGGATCACAAATTTAAGTCATACTTGGGCAACTTTTCACAGTTTCAGAGGAAAGAAAAGTTGGCAGGTATGGTGGTGCATGAGTCAGGAACCTGAGTCAGGAGGATACCCTCCAGGCCAGACTGGCTGCATCTCTGACCCGAATTAAGATGGCAGAGAGTGAACTGAAAGTAGTTTCATTTAGTTCAGGTGACGTGTTCCATGTGCACTGATGTGAACTGTGAAGTCTTGGTGTCTTCTTCAGTATGGTGCAGTGTCCTAATATACCACTGTGTTAGAGAACCTTTCATTTTTGTTGCTTACATAATTACTCTTTTATCAGAGTTTTAGGGCAGAGGCCTGGCTCTGGGTATTCCAGTAGTGAAGGCTTGACCACCTGTTCCAAAATATCAATCAAAGAGATGAGCAGTGATAAAGGGAAAAAAAGGTACCTTAATCATTGAAGGGCAGGTATGGAAGTTTGTCTAAAAGGAAACAGCTGAAAGTGGGGAGGAATGACGACTACAGTCAAAAGGAACGGCCTATTTAGTAGTTCTATGGCCAGCACAGAGGAACAGAAAGGAGAGCTAAGGGAGTGTATGGTAAGGAAGTAAGCAGATGGTGAAAGGTACATAAAGCCAGACCATGCCGGATGGAGTATATATACTGAAGTAATGGAATCTATTTTTATGATAAGCATAAGGTTTTGTTTGTTAAAGACAACTCACTATGTAAGCCAGGCTGGCCTTGAACTTGTGTGTATCCTCCCACTTCAGCCTTCAGAGCACTGGCATTGCAGGTGTGTGCCACCACACCTGGCAGAATAAGGTTTTGAGCAAGTAGACAAGAGGTAGGTCAACTGAGATTGTACTTAGGTGATCACTGCAAGGAAAGATGGGACCAAGAGTGAATGAAGGCAAACCAACTGAAAGGCTGTTCTAGCAACCTAGGTAACTTATCCTGAGTGGATACTGGGAACAAGGAAAGGAGATGGATTTGAAATGTTTAGCAGGTAAAACTCACAGATTTCTTGGATGTAAGAGAGAGTGAACTATCAGGTGACTGCTAGATTTCTGGCTTGCATAATATTCTTTCATATGTTAAACCAGGGATGCTAGCAAACACTTGTAATTCCAGCAGTCTGAGAGGCTGAGGCAGGAGGATGACAAGTTTGAGCCCAACCTGGGCAATTTAGGGTTTTACCATGACCCTGTCTCAAAATAAATTTAAAAGAAAAATGTAGTTCAGTGTGAGGGTTCACACCACTGTAGTACCTGGGTTCAATCCACTGTAGTACCTTCCCCCTCCCAAAGTGGGAATATAAAGAACAATATAAAAAAAATTGCCTACCACCCAGAGACATACTAATTTTTTTTTTTTTTTTTTTTTTTTTAGTATTGGGGATTGAACTCATAACCTTACGCTTGCCAGGCAGGAAAATACCAACTAGGGGATAGGGCTATACCTAGTGGTAGAGTATATGATTAGCATACCTGAGGCCTAGGATTCAATCCCCAACACCAAATCAAAAATTAAGTAAACAAAATTACTAACTACCTGGAGATCTACTAGGAAACTACATTAGTTTTCTTTTTTTTCCTTCAATTTTTATTTTTGGTATTGGGAATTGAACTCAGTACCTTGTACTTGCCAGGCAGGCACTTATGCCACTGAGCTATATCCCTGCCTCAGCTTTTGCTTTTTGATCTAAACATGTTAACTTTTCTTTTAAACTTGGATGAAACAAAGTGTTTTCATTTATTTTTAGCTATCTAGGAGTGACACAAATTTATGAAAGAAATTGAAATAGAACTTTTTTTTTCAAACTTCAGTGATTTTGTAGTATGCTGCCAAATATTTAATCTTAACAAGGACCCTGTAAAAACTAACTGTAGATTATAGATTCTTTTGCCTTTATCACTATGAGGGTCTTATCTTTTTTTTTTTTTTTTTTTTTTTGCTGCTGAGGATTAAACCCAAGCCTTGTACATGCCAGGCATGTACTCTTCTGCTATCTACTGCTGAGCTACCCTGCCAGCTCACTCTGCATTCACCCAGTTCTTTTTTTTTTTTTTTTGTACCAGGGATGGGACTCACGACCACGTGCATGCCCAGCAGGTGCTTTCACTGCTGAGCTAAATCCCCAGCTTCCCAGCTCACTCTGATGCTCTCAAAGGAAAACAGTTTTTTTCCTTTTATTAAAAAAAAAAAGATTTATGTTGTGTACATTTTTATATACATGGCATAAAATGTACTATGTAATGATTTTTATGTACAGTGACTTAAGTACACTCACACTGACATGCAGCCCTCACCACTTTCTCTCCAGAGCGTTTCCATTGTCCTAAATGAAGGTTCTGTGCCCTTTAAATGCTTGGCTCCTAGTTCTTTCCCATCCAATTCTGTTCTCTCTGTTTTTTTTTTTTTTGGAACTGGTGATCGAACTCATGACTGCATGCTTGCAAGGTAGGTGTTTATGCCACTGAGCTAAATCCCCAGCCCCTGTTCTACGCTCTGTATGAGTTGTCTTTATCTTGGTACCATATTAAAAGGAAGCATATAATATTTGTCCTTTTATTTCTCTTAGCATCATGTTTTAAAGATTCATCTGTGTTATAGCATGTATTGGAATTTAATTCCTTTTTATGGCTGGGTAGTAATTTATTGTACATTTATAACTTCAGCCATTTCCCATATTAATAAATGTCTGGAGGCTAATAGCTACCTCTTCGAGACCTCTGGTAATTATAGAGGCCTAGGATAACTTTTTTTTTTTTGGTACCAGAGATTGAACTCATGACCTTGTGCTTGCCAAACAAGCACTTATGCCGCTGAGCTAAATCCCCAATCCTAGGCCAAAGGTAACTTGTGTTACTCTCATGTCTCAATAGTTAAAATATTGCGCTAGTTGTGGTAATACACACTTGTTAACCTAGTATTTTAGAGGTTGAGGCGGGAGAATCATTGTGAGTTCGAGGTCAGCCTGAATTGCATAGTGAAACCTGTCTCAAAAAGACCAAAAAAAAAAAAAAAAAAAAAAATTCTACAAGTTTTTCCTTTCCAATGTATAATTTTTTTGGTGGATACTGTATATACCATATAATGTATAGTTATTTATCTGTAGACACTTGGATTATTTCTACCTTTCTGCTGTTGTGAATAGGGCTTTTGTGAACACTGATGTACAAGTTTTTGTTTTAGTACCGACATTCAATTCTTTTGGGGATATACCTAAGAGTGGAATTACAGTATATGGTAATTCCATGTTGATTTTTTTTTTTTTTTTTTTGTCTTTTTTAAGCAGGGTTTTACTATGCAGTTCTGGGGACCAAGAACTCACTTTGTAACACAGGTTGGCCTTGAATCACAGTGATCCTCCTGCCTCAGCTTCCCGAGTGCTGGGATTACAGGTGTGCAATACTGTATCCAGCTTGAACTTTTATTTTTAGTTAGTGCCTAAGTCCACTTTTTTTTTTGTGACACAGTTTCACAGACTGGCCTTAAACTCACTACATGGTCCAGGCTGGCCTTGAACTTGCAGCAATCTTCTTTACTTTGTATTAGTCTAAAGTCTTGTTGGATACAGCACCATATGATTTTGTGCACAGTGGCCTTAGCAGGAAGGTTCTTTGGAATTTAGCATGGACCATGCTACTGTCTTCATGGATGTAACCTATCTTTCCCCATATGCCTGTGGTTTTGTTTGGCTTGCCCCCAGAGTCAAACATAAGTAAAGGAATGAATGAAGGAAGAATTGGTATGCTTTGTTTCACAGCAGTGGTACCATTTCACATTCCTGCCAACTTTGTTTGTTTGGGTTCTTTTTTGTTTTTTTGACTAATACTTTGAACTCACTGTGTAGCCCAGGCTAGCCTTGAACTCATGGTACTCTTACCTCAGTCTCCTGAGTGCTGGGATTACAGGCTTGTGCCACCCCACTCAGCCAGCCACATTCCCACCAATTTATGAGGGTTTTAAGTTTTATTCTTTTTGTTTTGTATTTTGAGACAGGGTCTCACTGGTTAGTCCTGACTGGCTTTGAACTCACCATGTAGTCCAGGCTGGCCTTGAACTCACAGCTATTCTCTTGCCTCAGCTTCCAGAGTGTTGGGATTACAAGCGTGAACCACCATGCCCAGTTTCTTTTTTTTTAAGTTTCTAATTTCTTTACTTTTTCATAAATGCTTGTTGTTTTCTGTTTTGTAATTTTTGTTGTTATTCTAGTGGGTGTGAGGTGATATCTCACTGTGAGTTTGATTTGCATGTCTCATCATAAGCATCTTTTCATGTGCTTATTATGTGCATTTTAAAAATTTCTGTTTTCGGGCCTGGGGATTTAGCTCAGCGGCATAAATGCCTGCCTTGCAAGCAGCAAACGTGAGTTCGATCCCCGGTACTGATAAAAAGGAAAAGGACAAAAAAAAAAAAAAAAAAAAAAAAAAAAAAATTCTGTTTTCTCACTTGATTGGAAGAGTTGTGTTGGCTTTAACTGTTGACCTGGCATTCACAACTTGTCCCCCACCATTTAAAAAAACTAAATATACTGACTTTTTTTTCCTATTTCTCTTTTTTTTTTAAAGATGGCTCTGAGTAAGTCAATGCATGCAAGAAACAGATACAAGGACAAACCTCCTGACTTTGCATATCTGGCATCCAAATATCCAGATTTTAAGCAACATGTTCAGATAAATCTGAATGGAAGAGTGAGGTAGGTAACATGAAAGATTATTCATACGGTGTCATTCTAATGTGGCCTAAAGGGACCCAATGTAATGGAAAGCAGTTTGAACTTTTAGAAGACCTGCGTGCTAACTGTGAATTTCATTAAACATCTCATGTGATCTTGGACAAATCACTTAGCCTCCCTAGATCTCAGTTTAACCTGTAAAATGAGAACATTGTTCTTAGGAGGCTGAGACAGGAGAGTTCTGAGTTTGAGTCCAGTCTGGGCTACATAATGAATTTGAGGCTAACCTGGGCCACACAGTAAGTTTGAGGCCATCCAGGGACTACTACAAAATACAAATAAAGAGTTCAAAGAGAGGATGAGGGCTAGGCATGTAGCTCAGTGACAGGGCACTTGATGAGAGGACTGGATCAAACGCTGTTAAGCCTCACCTTGAAGAAAAAAAAATTTCTACTAATGTCCAAATTATTTTTTACCTTACAAAACTGCAGAGACTAGGTATGTCTTCTATGTGATCTAAAGCTTGGTGATTGGTGAGAGTAGACCCTCTTTAGAAAGATTGGTGAGGGTAGACTCTCTTTAGAAAGACATTATTTGGGGGCTAGAGGTTTAGCTCAGCGGCATAAGCGCCTGCCTTATAAGCAGGCAGTCATGAGTTCGATCCCCGGTACCGGTAAAAACGAAAAAGACAAAAAAAAAATCTTTTTTTTTGTTTTATGCTGCTGAGCTAAACCTCTAGCCTCAAGACATTATTTTTTAAAGTGTGTGTTTATTTTGCTGTAAGGTAGAAAAATAATAACTAGAACATTAAAACTGGTTTCACAGATGTTATTACTTAAAACATTGCTAAAAACCAGACATGGTGGTGCACGCCTGTAATCCCAGCATTTGGAAGGCTAAAGCAGGAGGCTAGCTTGCTCTACCTAGTGAATTCAAGGTCAGTCTGAACTGCATAGCAAGACCCTGTCTCAAGTGTGTATGTGTGTGCATATATAAATTTAATTTTTATTTTAGTATATGTGCTGCTGAAGTGAGCACTAAAGTTAATTTTTGAAAATTAAGAAAAATATGACTAGGGATGTACTATGCATGTATATTCATGGAGCCCTTTGTTCAACCCATAGCATGAAAAACAAAATTAAAAAAAAAAAACCACAGAAAAACCATACACAAACACACACACATACTCAAACCTTGAAAAACAATGGTTAGCAGCTTGTGTATATTTTAAAAACCTCCAATATTGAACCCGAACTCTAAGAATTACAAAAGGAACTGAAAATTTCAAGCCTCTGTGGAGACATGAGGTACTTTTGTGAGGGCAGGGCAGAGTAGGGTGTGAGGAAAAGACGGAAAGTAAGGAGTAGCAAGGTCTCTGGACTTTGGCAGCCTTTTTACTCCTAGCACTACCCTTATGGCTTTAGAAATACCCTTATGCTGTTAGCTCTGTCTTTATGGTGGATTAACCCCAGGGCAAAGACACCCTTAACATGAAGTGAAAAGTTTTTGTTTTGTTATTTTTTGCACTGGGAATTGAACTCAGGACCTTGTACTTGACAGGTAGGCACTTATGCCACTGAGCTATATCGTTGGCCCTAAGTAAAAATTCTTTAAAAATATGCTTTGTTCATTTTCAAGGGAATTTTTTTTTGGTGGGGAGAAAGTTTCACTATGTAGTTCAGGCTGACTTCAGGCTGAACTCCTGTGTTGCTCAGGCTGACCTCAAACTCAAGAATGATCTTCTTGCCTCAGCCTCCTGAGTGCTGGGATTATAGTCATGCACCACTATGCCTGACTGGTCTTTGGCTTTCATAAGCTTCTCAAAGGGATTTGTGATGCTCATTCTTTGAGTATATAAAAATCAAGCTCAAATACACTAGAACAATGGTTTTTAAGCTTTCATGATTTTGCTCTTACCAGAGTTTTAGGAAACTGTGAGGTTTTACAGAAAAGGAGAATAAAAGCAAGGGTGGTGGGGGAGTTTGTATACCTGGCAGGGTAGATAATCCTGGTCTGGCTGGTCACTGTATCAGGACTGGTTCTGTCAGGTGCCGTCTGAGAAGTTCTTATGTATTGAGGGGCCCTCTGGTTCCTGTAAAGCAATTGCTGCTTCTTGGGGAGGGAGTGACCTTATCATGGGATAATATGTCTGTGAGGCTTTGCTTTTCCTGGAATTCAGGATGGCTAAAGGTACAGGACAATGATTGGAGAATTCAAGATACCACTCTTGGGAGTCTGGAATGGATATTATAAAGATTGGCAGTGGGGGGATGAGAGAATGCTAATAAAACTTGTGTTACCAGTTTTTAGACACTGTAAATGATTAACCTGCTTATGTGCAGGGCTGGACAGAAACTGGACTCAACTTTTTAAATTAATAAAGGAGACAGATATAAAATGAAGACAGAGATACCAAATGTTTTTCTGCTTTTAATTACTCACTGGGCAGTACTGCCCAGTTACTGCAGGCCCTGCTTCTTAGACAGTGTCTTTACTCAGTAAAAACATGGAAGGGAGTCACTATGTACGTGCTTGTCCTACTTACCATGTTGCTGTGTGAGGTGCATCTGAAAACATACATAGACTAGCAAGTGTAAGATCATGAGTTCAATTCCTGGTACCAGAAAAACCCCAACTATGGAAATAGAAATTAAAATTATATTTAAGTGAAAATTCTGATATTTTCTTTACATTTTCAAAAGAATTATTTTGACACCTTACTCTGTATATTACCCTAAGAAGACTGAATTGCCATTTTTCTGTGTTTATAACAATCCTGCCCTTGTTCTTAACGTTCTGTTATTGTAACAGGTATGTAGGGTGAATCCACTTATAAGGAGGAAAGTGTTATTTTGGCTCACAGTTTTGAAGGTCTTGGTCCATGGTGGCTCTGTTGCAATTTTGGGCCTGTGGTGAGCAAGCACATTGTGGTTGGGAGCACTTGATGGGGCAAGGCTGCTTACCTTATGGCCAGTGAAAACAAGAGAGAAAGAGGTTGAGAAACTGTCTGATAATCCCATCAAGGGTACTCTGCCCATGGCCTAAAACCTCCCACTAGGCTCCCCCTCCCAATAGCGTCCATCTGGGGCCAAGCCAGCATGGGCCTTTGGGGTATATTACAGATCCAAAGTGTAGAATATACATGTGAATGTTTATTTTTCCTAGCAGCTCTAGGGAGGATACAAGTTTGTTTTTGTCTCCTCTCTATACCTACTATGGAACTTAATTATTTAACCAAATCTATTGAGCCACAGTTTGCTCTGTTCTAAAAAGCCATAATAAACTAGAAAGACATAGTCACTGCCACATTAAAGTCTATACATAAGAAGACAAGTTAGGCAAATATATAAGCAGATAACTTTCAGTGTGGCAGAATCTGTGGTCTGTGCGTAGAATCATACAGGAGGGAGATCCAATACCCATTTTGGGATTTAGAGAATGATTTGACACAGAAATGGTGTCTTGGTTGTGTTTCAAGAAAAAGAGGAGTAGGTAGAGAGATGAGCATTCCAGGTCAGGGGAGCAGCAGAGGAACTAAAAAAGTTGATCATGCTTAGGGTGTAGCGGGTAAGAGAGAAAATAAGGCTGGGGAGGGCTGTACTTGTCATATTTTACAAGCCTCAAGAGGGAGTTTGGAATTTATCTTAAAGACATAGTATAGAGGGAGGGGTTGTGTCTTCACAATTACCTGGAAAATACTTAAGGGGATCATAGGCTGGGCGTGGTGTATGCCTGTATTCCCAGCACGCAGAAGGCTGAGGCAGGAAGATTGTCACAAGTTCAAGGCCAACCCAAGCTATATTGTGATTTTAAGACCACTGTCAACTACAAAGCAAGACCCTGTCTCCAAAAAATAAGGAATTAAAAAGATGGATATGTATATGCGTATATATATGAATTATATATATGTATTACTAAGAAAGTCAAATGTTGCATGTCTCTTCTCACATGAAATATAGTGGGAGAAAAGACAACATGAAAGTAGAAGGGCTGCTAATAGGGAAGGGAGAGGGAATAGAAGAGAGGGAGGGGAAAAGAGAGGCAGATGGGAAGTGGAGGTCATCAAAGCACACTATATGTATGTATGAAAATGTCATAATGAAACCCATTATCTTGTACAGTCAGTATGTGTTAATAATTGTAATTGTAAAAATCATTAAGGACAAATCAAACAGATCTATTATCACAGTATATTGAAAGGAATTAAAGGTTCTTGGTGAGTAATATCAGTATCTATGAATATCATGCATCAACAGATATTCATTGGATGCATGAGGAAAATTCCTGTATTAAAATGCTGTATAGGGTGAGGGGTTTAGCTCAGCGGCATAAGCACCTGCCTGCCAAGTGCGAGGTCATGAGTTTGATCCCTGGCACCAAAAAAAACAAAAAACAAAAAAACCCGCTGTATGTAAGTGGCATGTTGTCTTGGTTTCTTTTGTGCTGTTGTAACAGAGTACCTGAAAGTAGGTAATGTGTAACAGAAATTTACTGTTTGGCTGGGTGTGGTGGTGCACACCTGTAATACCAGCACTTGAGAGGCTGAGGCAGGAGGATTGTTATGAGTTGTTGAAACCAGTGTGGGCAACACAGTAAGTTCAAGGCCATTATGATCTATATAGTGAGACCCCATGTCAAAAAAATAAAAATAAAAATAAGGAAATTTACTGCTTATAGTATTGGAGGCTGAGCAGCACCTTGTCCTGCCACCTGTTGAGGGCCGTATTGTTTTGTTTTTTGAAACAGAATCTCAGCATCTCACTATGTAATTCAGGCTGGCCTTGAACTCACTGTGAAAACTAGGCTTGCCTTGAACTCATGACCATTCTCCTGTCTCATTCTCCAGAGTGCTGGGGCTGTAGACATGTACCAATACTGTAGACATGTACTGTAGACATGTACAGCCAGCCTGATGATTGACGACCTTCTTGGCTTGCCTTCACTTGTGAAAGAAAGCTGGGAAAGGGTTGATCCATTCCCCAAATTCCTTTTCACAGCAGCAGTATCTCTCTTCAAGTAGC